TAAGAATCTTGTCAGGTTCCAGTGCTTTTTATGGGAAAGTAACTGTTTGCACCACTGATTTTCCAAGTCATATTCTGTTGTATGACAGTGATTTTCATGATGCAAATACCATGGGTAATGACAGAGTTCTCAAGTTGCTGCGTCGAGTTGTTGCAGTCTCGGTAGATCAGATGCTGATATTCCATATATATCCCCACAGTGGTGATTGGAATCCTAAAATCTTTGAATTCACTCCACTAATTAAAGGCGCAGACAAGACTGAGATTACTTGTGGTGGCCACAGGATGCAAGTTAAAGTTACTTGGTCGATGTTGTCAGATACAAGATGATCTCTTCAGTGAGAAGATGATGATTGTACGAATTCACTTGTTTATCAGCATGTATTAGTTAATTTTTAAACCCTGGTTTGTATTAGTATCCACGTTCATTGTATCCGTTCTAAGAAGGCAGTTATATCGATGAAGTGGTGCTAATTTACTTGCTTTCAGGACTAATGTATATGGTGTTGCTCCAAGTCCTTTTTTTTTTTTGAGGAATCTGGAGGGGCTTTCGCCCCTACAGTTACTTTTTATTAAAAACTGAACAAACAGGTTACAGAAAGAGAGTTTTACAAAACAAAATTAAGAGATATAAAAGGAAACAAAAAGGATCAACTGCAGAACCGAAGCTAAACTACTGAACGAAGCCATTGATCAAAAGGATGACTGAATCTTGATTTTACACTATGCTTCAAAAGCTGCAGCTCTTTCACAAATCCTGCTCTGGTTACTGAAAGGTTTGGCTGAAGGTCATTAAAAATGAATGCATTACGCGAGGTCCAGATTGCCCAGCATACGAGGATTACTGCTTCCATGAAGAATTGGGAATGAATAGCATCCTTGAGAAAGATCATAGCGTCAGGGAATTCCAAGGCAGAGGGAATATTGACCCCAATGAACTACCAGCATTGCTTTGCAAACTCACACTGCAAAAAGAGATGATGAACTGATTCCTCTGTGCCCATGTCACAGAGAACACAACTGTATGATGGCAGGAACATGTTCTTTCTTTTCTGAATATTTCTTGTACTCAATCTGTCTTTAAGCAATAGCCAGAAAAATACCATGTGCTTTGGCTGACAGAAACTTTTCCAGATCCATTGGATTGATGGGTGGTGATGTGAGTGCCCTGCTATTATCTTATATGCTCTTGAAGATGAGAAATTTGTTCCCCATGAGTATTGCCAGATATCTTTCCCTTCATTTAGCTGAATATTTGTTGACATCTGCACCAAGACTTGCAATTGATTATATGCTATTTGTGAAATTGTAAATGCAAGAGGAAAGTCATATCCCCCCCTGTTCCCAGGCATTTGCCACAGAGATCCTTCTATTTCTGGCAAAGGAAGATAACTCAGGGAAGCTTATTTCCAGACTTTGCCCTCCCTAATTATCCTGGCCATCTGCTTGAAATATTGAAGATTTTTTAAGTTATCTCTCCACCAAAAAGACCCTTTCACTATAGAACTTGGAAGCTTCCCATTTGAGTAATGCTTTTCCCAAACCAAATGAACCAAAGGAATGTCTGCCTTATTGAAAATTTTATGGAGATTTTTCAGTAAGAGGGCTTTGTTCTGCTTTTCAATGTTGTGCTCCAAATCCATTGTGCTTTTAACTTTTATATATGCTGAATTCTGTCCTGTACGGTAGATGTTAGTATCGTCATCTATGAATGTGTGTAGGCTTGAAGTCTGCTGATCAGGGTCCTTACTGCTTAGTAAATTCGGGTCACCTCGATATCTCAGTTCTATGGACTACTCGTAGTGGGCCAAAGTTTTGGGCCGTCGATTTTAGGCCTAATTCTGGCCGTTGGGGATTCATTACAGGCTGGTCCGGCACGCAGGGACGTAGCCTACGTACCGGACCGTGGTAGTGGTAGCGCCGCCTACCAATCATATCCGTTTCTTAAAATATATATATATATATCCACCCTCGACGTCGAGCGACGAGCGGCAGCGGCCGGCGGATACGAAGAGACGAGGAGGAGGATAGCGTCAGCACAGGTGAGGTTAGTGCTTCGTTCTCCTCAATCACTCCTGTCTGGCTGGTGATTCGTGTTTCCTTGATATCCAGCTTGTTCGCTGGCTGGTTCGTTTCGTCGCTGGTTTATGAAGAAATATGATTGGTTTGTTTTGTCCAGCTTGTTCGGTTGGCTGGTTCGTTTCGTCGCTGATTCGTGAAAAAATACGGTTGGTTTGTTTTGTGGGAGAGAAAAATACTGTTTCAGCTGAAAATTTACGATCGTTACTGCGAGCCACAGCCAAAACGAACAGTGTCTGTGACGACCTTCGCGCTTTGATCCTATCCTGTTCCAGGGCTGATGGCAACCGAAGATTGCGACGGGCTTCCCATGAGGATGAAGAGGAGGCAGCAGCGGAGAAGCAGAAGCGTCGGCAGCAGAGCCAGAAACCGCCGTTTAAGCACCCGTGGGAGATTATCACGCCGGAGGAAAAGGCGAGGAGGGAGTTCAATTTTGCCATGATGGATAAGCTTTTCGAGTTTGACCCTAAGACGGGATCCGGCTCCTACATCCAAGTTTGGTTCGTCAACTTCATCACCTTCAACCTCGATGATGAGAGTAATCCCTCACTCCTGACCTTCATCCTTGTTTTTTTATAATGGCCATACGTTTTTCAGGAATCAGGATACAATCTCAATTAGTCTCGAATTGCACAGACTAGTACTGACTATTTTGTGGGCAAATCGGGTTATCTTTGGTGAAAAAATAGAGAATGGGATGGGCAAAATGGTGGGAAACTACCAGGCAAAATGGTGGGTCAGATCTTGCAGGTGTTCAACCTGTGTAGTCTGTCTCACACCAAGTCACTTCCATTCAATCTGTACTCCTAGAGGCAGTGACAGCGTAGTGATTGTGACAATCACAATGCTAGCATTTTTATACAGCTTAAAAAAATCTTTATTAGTGTGGATGTGGACTACCATGTGTAATCTGGTTCCCTTTTAGTGGGGATCATGTTTGAGAAAAAAGTAAAGAAATTGTTTAGATTCGTGTGAAACAAACATATGAGTAATTTTCATAAGAAGACATACTACTATTTATGTAAATAAAGGATCCTATTGTATGGAGTGCTGTTTCACTGCAAAAAAAAAAGTAACATGATTATATTTCTTGTACGATGCTATTATTTACTTCTATTTACTTTTTGTAGTTTGTACCATACTATTCTTCTCTAGTTGTAAAATAACCTTATTTTCTTTTCCTCAGCACAATATGGACCGATGCACTTTACAGATTCACTTATCAGAGATGACCACAAGTTGACCGACTCTTTAAATGTTCTTTGTCTGAAGATAAGGTCTTCGGATGTAGGTTACCCTATCAATGTGTATGGGACTGTGATAGTCAGAGATCGTTTGGATATGAAATGCAACTACATCTTCCAGCGCAACAGGAGCAATCGCCAACTTGTTGAGTCAGAGGTATTTTAAGAACTTTAAAGAATGTAGGCGTGAAGTATTTTCGTCTTCTTTTTTGGTTTATGCAAATAACTGTTTTATCAGTCTTTAATACTAGACTAGAATTCTACTACTAAAAGAGTGCAACATTTTATCATTCTGGTGCAAAAAAATATGCTATTTCCCTAGTTCCTACATTTGTAATATGTACTTTATCGGTTTATCCCTTTGGCATATCTTTTTTTGAAGATTGCATTGGAATGGGTGTCACACTTGTGAATCTGCTGTTGTTTATTTACTTGAATTTTAGCAATACTTATCCCGCACATTCTCACTCTAGTAGTAGTATTTTTTTAAATTAATTCCAGAGGAAAGATCTTGATTGTAATCTGGATTTTCTGTGATAATGGTCAATAAACAGTAATGTATATTATGTGAAATGTTGACAAATAAAACTGTCGCTAAAGTTTCATAGCATGATCTTGTTGCTTTCATTAAAGTGGCATGGTACACTCTCCAATTCTCCATGTAGGTGGCCATTGACTATCATGTAGACACTTCCAATCTGTCATTGAAATAGGAGGTGTCATTAAATCTATCATCATAATACCACGCTCCATGAAGATCTTGGCTGACTTTGTGCAGTTTCATTTTTCTCGTTTCAGTTTATCAGCATGCTAACTTTTGTGATGTTGTGCTATTTCCAATCTCTAACGCATTTAACATATGGAAAAATCAATGAGGAACGGTTTGCTGCCTACTAAGATAGTGTAAGGGATATATTTTGTTGACATTTTCTGTGAACTTGCTTGTAGGGTGAATCTTTGATTCTGACTGGCCCAACCAGAGGTATTGTTCTTAAAACTGATGCTTATTTTGGGATTAAGTCCACTTTTAGCCCATCAACTATTGGGTTCGTCTAATTTTGACCCTCACCTATAAAACCGTCTAATGCTAGTACCCCAACTGTCAAAACCGTTCACTTTTAGCACTTGGGCGCGGGTGAGGCTGTTCTGTCCATCTCAGTGACATGTGGGGCCCACGCGTCATCGACTCAACCCCTCCCTCTCCATCCTCACGGCCACTCCCCCGACGCCTCCTCCCTCCGCGCGCAGCGGGGTGGGCGCTGCTCCCTCCGACGCGGCAGCGCTGGCCTCCACTCCTCTCGCGGACGCGGGCGGTGGTGAGATGCCACAGCGGCGGGGACGACCCAAGCAGAGGTCCAGCAGCTTCTTCCTGGCCTCCACCTCGTCGAACAGGTCGTCGATGAGCGCCAGCACGTCCTCGCGCGCGGCCTGGAGCGCGCCTACGCGCAGTCCCACCTCCACCGCGGCTGCCGCCACGTCGCCGCCGCGCTCGACGGCGTCCTTGGCCTCCTCCACCGCCCGCGCCACGCGCGCCGGAACTCGTGCATCATCACCCCGGCGCCGCCGTCGGGCGCGAGCACGGGCGTGGCCACGGACCTGCCGGCATCATCACCCCGGCGCCGCCGCCGGGCGCGAGCGCGGGAGTGGCCACGGACCTGCCGGCCTCCGCCGCGGCGCGCTATTGCGCGCAGGACAGCGCCGACGCGAACGGCGCGCCGAAGTAGGCGGCGCAGTCCCCGACGCCCGCGTTCGGTGCGGGCCAGTAGTGGAGCACGCCCCACGAGAGGAGCGTGAGCAGGAAGGAGGTGAGCATCCGGGTGGCGCACAGCACGCCGCGGAAGCCGTTGAAGCCGCCCAGCTTGGTGTCGGCGAGGACGTCCTCGCTGAGGCGCAGCGCCAGCGCCTCCACGCGCGTCTCCACCAGCGCGTGGTTCTCCTCCTTGAGCGCCGTGGCCTCGCGCCTGCACACGCTGATCACACGGGACACCGGCCATTCCAGTCGTTGGATGCTATTATTGCTTCAACTTGAGCTAGCAGCTTCTTTCTCCGCCGTTGCTCGGGACTCGGGAGGAGAAAAAGAAGAAGAATATCACTACTTACCTATCTCGAGAGGTGGGGGCTCGAGGGCGCCTACATGAGTAGCGAGGCGAGCTGGGCGGCGCTGCCAGCGTAGCCCTCGACGGCGGTGGCGCCGAGCCATAGCGCGCGGCACGCGTCGCAGAGCCGCGACGCCTCGTCCATGTACTCGTCCAGCCAGGCCGCCCCCCCGGAGGTGGAGCGACACGACGAGGCGGGCCATGCCCGCGTGCGCGGCGTGGAGCAGCGCCAGCGCGGCCCGAAGCAACGCCCGCGAGGGAGCCACGTGAGGGAGCAGCGCCCGCCCCGCTGCGCGCGGAGAGAGGAGGCGTCGGGGGAGTGGCCGTGAGAATGGAGAGGGAGGGGTGGGCCCCACATGTCTCTGAGATGGACAAAACCGCTCTACGTTGGACAAAACAGCCTCACCCGCTCTCATGTGCTAAAAGTGAACGGTTTTGACAGTTGAGGTACTAGCATTAGACGGTTTTGTAGTTGAGGATTAAAATTAGACGAACCCAATAGTTGATGGGCCAAAAGTGGACTTAATCCCTTATTTTGAGATAAATCTGAAGATCAAGCAGGATAGAGAGAGCGAGGACAGACAATTTAGCAAAACGTTGATTGACGTGGATAGTGCAAGAATTAACTACAGGGTTAAAACGCAAACTACTGTTAGCTGGCTCAGCGAGGTGGATCTGATGTTTTCATATGTGGAGAAAGCATTGGAGGGCACAATTGAGATAAGAATACTGTCAGGGTCCAGTTCTTTTTATGGAAGAGTAACTGTTTGCACCACTGATATTCCAAGTCATATTCTGTTGTATGACAGTGATGTTCATGGTGCAAATACTATGGGTAATGACAGAGTTCTAAAGTTGCTGCGTCGTGTAGTTTCAGTCTCGGTAGATCAGATTCTGATATTCCACGTATATCCCCGCAGTGGTGATTTGAATCCTAAAATGTTTAAATTTACTCCGCTAATTAAAGGCGCAGACAAGGTTGAGATTGCTTGTGGAGGCCACAGGATGCAAGTCAAAGTTACTTGGTCGATCTTGTCATATTTTTTTTAGATAATGGATAAACATCCGGCCTCTACATCCGTAGATGTACACAGCCCAAAATTACAGATAATGATAAAACCAAAAAGAAAGCCAAGGTCTTATAACATGACCAAGACGCTAACTTAAACAATAAAATTGTTTCCATCCGTTATTGGATATCTCTAGAGCAATAACTTCTAATTTCTTGCTTATTGTCGAGAGCGCGTCCTTAGCTTGCTCTCTACACGCAATTGAAGCGTAACCAAGACGCTCCCCCGAAAATGACCTGCATAATAGAGTTAGATTTTATTTTATTAAAAACAACATCATTACGGCATCTCCAAATAGCCCAACACATAGCAGCCACTCCCACCCAAATCAAATTTCTAATCCTTTTATTTTGATTAGATGACCGGTTACCAAACATGTGGTGATTGATCTAGGTTGAGTTAAACTAGTAGCAAAGAAGATAATCCTCCAAATCATTATGGCAATAGGGCAGTCCCAGAATAAGTGTTGAATAGTTTCATTCCCATTGCAACAAAGCATAAATTCGACTCCCTTTCCAATTTTTCCTAGACAGGTTATCTTTGGTAAGAATGACACCTCTTTGTAGGAACCAGAGGAAAATTTTTATTTTTAGAGGAACTTTTATCTTCCAAATCTTCCTATGCCGAAAAGATGTATTTGTATCTATAAGGTTGAGATACATGGATCGATCGAGAATGAACCCGAAATTTGGTTAAACTCCATCTAAAATGATCAGATCCATTTATTAGTTCGACATGAGAAATACTTGCTACTAGACTAAGCCATTTCTCAGTAAGTTTATTACCCACCGAGCCCTCCTAAAAGAAATATTCAGAGGGCTAGTGCTCATTAGATCAGAGCGTGAGGATCTCTCACAATATTATATAAAGATGGATATGAACTTTCGGAGGCCTAGCACCTACCCATACATCATCCCAAAATCTAGCCGTGGTTCCATCCTTAATATCGAAAGAACCTTTTGCCAGCACCTCATCCTTGATATGCATGAGGCCTCTCCAAAAATGTGAATCATTTGGCTTTGCCGTGACCTGGGATAAACTTTTTGAATTTAGGTATTTATTACAGTAATAGCGTTTGGTGTTCATGAGATTCACTAGCCATTTTGCTAGTAGGCATTTATTTTGTAGTTGTAAATTCAGAATACCTAGTCCACCTTGATCCTTGGGACGACAAATGATATCCCATTTGGCAAGGCGGTATTTATGTTTCTCTGAGGATCCTTGCCAGAAGAACCTCGACCTAAAATGGAAGAGGATCTCTTCAGTGAGAAGAGGATGATCGTACGAATTCACTTGTTTATCTTCATGCATTAGTTAATTTTTAGACTCCAGTTTGTAAGTATCCACGCTCATTGTATCCGCATTCTAAGAAGGCGGTTATGTGAATGAAGTGGTGCTTTAATTTACTTCCTTTCTATTTTTTGGAAATTAATTTACTTCCTTTCAGTACCAGATGTCTAGGACGAAGGTGGTGCTAATTTACTTCCTTTCAGTACATTCTGAACACGAGCACGGGCAAGAAATAGAAACAATTGGGCCATGGCCCATTGGGCACGTACAGCCCAGTCCAACCAAAAGAATCGGGTCGATTTCGCCGTTCTCTCACCGGCTGACAAAAGTCGCACGGAAACTTGCTGCTGGTCGGTTGACGCCGGATGCGAATGGAGTTGGCCACACGCCCACACCACACCACACACCAGCGGCGCCAATCCGCATTCAAGAGCTGGCGACAGCGCTAAAGCAAAAAAAAAAAAAAAAAAAAAAAAAGGATTACCGGAAAGAAAAATGCCTCGGTCCATTTCTTTTTTTATAAAATATGTTGCCAGCGGTCAGTATCTTTCTTTTTCGGTCTTTCATAACCAACATAGTAGATGAAAGTAGAACATATAGACATAAGATATATGAAGACTATTTTTTTATTTCTCTGAATATTAGTGATTACAGCACAGAGCTCCTATGTATATATAGTTCTATCAAGACATAAGAGTTTGGTAAGAGTCCACATACAAATGGACTAGTATTAGAATTCCACCTTCTCCTTTCTTTCAGGATAGAATCCGTATGTTTTACAACACTCCCTCTTGGACGATTACCACGATATGTGTATGCCTCATTAAAAACTTCATCCGAAAATCCAGTGGAAAAAACGGTTCTTGGAGAAAAGAGTACATCGCATTCGTTAATTGCATTGCACATGTTGTCTCATTAAAAACCTTGCATGAGAAACCTTCAAATAAAAACTCACATAGGAAAAAAGAGTACAACATTGAACCTTCTTGGTCATGTATTCTTCAGGATATTCTATTCTTCATGCATAAATAACCACTTATTAATTGTGCAAAACAAATAAAATTTATCCTTCAGGGTAAAAAAAATCCTTTCAAAGGATTATGGGGATAAATAAGTTACAATATTCAATATCTTTTAGATAGTGTATCAAACTTATACTAGAGTTTGAATAAATTTTTTCTTTGTGGATTTTTAAATTATATGTTCTTCAAATCTTCAGAATTTTAATTGTACCATGAAATAATAAATCCAGTCTTACATTTGGCATTTAGGGGATAATTCAATTGCCAAAATCACCATTATTCTTATACCTTCTATGGTATTTAGAGGATATCAATACTTCATGCTAGCTTTTGACATGCACTTTCTGAATATTTATATGACACCTTCATGGTGTTTAAGATTCCTCATTTTCTTTCTCTCGGGTCTATATTCACTTTAGGGATCAATGACGTTTATTCAAGAATGGATTGGTAAATCCTTCATGGATTAGTTCATTCAAAGATGTTCTTATTTTCGGTGAATTATATTTCTCTTCCATGAGATATATTCTCTACTACATGAGAGATTATTCTGAGATATACACAATGAGATAGTCTTATTCACTATAAAGTCATTCGATGACTCTATTCCTTCTAGGACATGCTCTTTTTGAGACTTCAATATTCATACAGGAATATATATTCTACCTTATACTTCTTAATACTTAGTATGAGATTTAATTTCTATATGTTACGATTTCTATTTTTCAGGAACTATATGGATTTTCAGAATCCACTTACTAACTGCATATTCATATCATTTCATTTGCTAGAGATATAGCAGAATATTTATTTCTTCAAAGTAGGAGATTCAACCTCAATTATTTTCTTCATTGACCCGATATAATCGCTACATGCGACTTTGCCATGGACTTTGTTTTTTAGATCCGGGTTCTCATAAAAGAAACATTTATAATTATAGAGGTAGCGTTGTCGACAACTATTATTTTCTCCTAATATTCTCATAATGTGAGATTATTATATCTCTTTGTTATTTCTAAACAAGAGATAATTTATTATTCTGCACATCCAACACTAATCATGCGCACGCTTAGTATGTTGGATCTCATCTTCATGATGATCCTCTTCATGAGGTGCCTAATCTTTTTCATAAGGTGTTCTCTTCATGAGAATGGAGGAATTTGTTCTTATTTCATTTCACAAGTATGCACTAAACTATAATTCACAGACGTTCTCATAGATTTTAGCTTGATAGTATACAATATTTAGTTTACTATTAGTAAACACAACTTCTGGTTTATAACTTTAAGTTACCCCTCTCATTTTTTAAAAATATCTGGCATATGCTCTACTTCATGCTTCACAAGAGCATTAGTCAAACTATTGTTTGATTTAGTGTGTGATATTATTCCTGCTTCAAGCTTCGAGGAATATTTTCTTTAGATCATTTTCCTTCTATGGAAATAATATTTGGCATTCAAAATAGGCTCTCTCTCCCCCTAATATCAATATTAGATCTTTAATAGCATACTTTAAAAGATATCCCCTATCATAGGCTTAAAATAATTCAAAGTCATGTATCTCCATCTACAAGTGGAGGCCCATTCATGTATGCTATGATGAAGTTTTACGGGAAATATTCACACACAATTTAAAAAGGGGTTATTATTTATTAAATGCTGCAAGCTGGAATACATATAGTGCACTTAAGAATGTTCAACATTCCTACAAACTCAGAGATGTTCTCCCCTTGATTTGCACATATCATAATTTAGAAAACTATTTCATTGTCTAGATTCTTTATTGTTTAGCCAAAAAATTGATCCAAGTACTCGCATATTAAAAAAATGGACCATACACTTCAAATGTATAAAATACGCAACATTCCAAAATCACATGGAATATCTTCTAGAAATTTCTAATTGCCATTAATACAAAATTTCCCAAATGCCTTTTCTTCAAAAATCCTAAATCATCTAAGTGTGTTATCCACCATC